TGATTTCAGGTGGTGGCGCAGGCTTCAGTGCTGCGGAACTTGCTGCTTGTTTAATTAACGATCGTTGGCCCGTGCGTCAAGTGTGTTGACAGAGACATAGTGTTTGCCTTTGTGACATCGTTCAGGCTGGTTAAACGTAGTGGGTTCTCAAGCAGCCTTACGTTTGTGGTTATTTAGGCTAGAGATGAAGTTATGGGATTTGACCCCATTTGTGGAACCTGAACTTAGCAACAAAATTACGGTATGTGTTTCTTTTGGATAGAACGATGTCCAACGACCGACGAGTTGACCGACGAGCAACTTTGTCCTCTAAGATGGAGACAGTCCTCTAAGTTGTTTATACTTTCTGCCTTTTTTGTGGCATTATTGCATTCTCTGTGTAGACCTGTTAAGTTTCGTACCAGAACGGTATATAATTCTTGATGTATCCTCTTGGTATACACATTTAGCAGTCTACATGTCTGTTTAGACCATCTGTGTTCTCTTTTATGATGTTAGGTGCAAGAAGTTCATTTAATGCTTTTTCAAACGGTGCCTAGCCTGCCTTTGTAAAGTTCCAGCGTGGGAGGCGTAGTTTTATAGCGTGCGTTCTTTTGGATCGCACTCTCAAGAATCATGCGTATCCCTCAACAGCATCTTTCAGATTCAACACTGATCGCCTTGTCAAGTTTGCGATTACCAGGTATAGATCAGGTCCACCCACCATAGGGAAGAAATTAGAGTTCTGATTGAAGTTGAATCAAAAGCGTCGCGTCGATCATATTTTCAACGGCGTGGCCTGGTGCATGATGGTGACGCACTGGCATAGTGAAAATGTGCGTTAAGATTGCCCAATGTAATGGATTTGCGATATAGGCATGAAGTCTCTATACAGCTTGTGCTCAGCTTTTTGGCTGGTGGGTTGTAAATTCCAAAATATTTGTAGTGACATCCGTTAACCCAGTCTTCCACAATGACAGGTTTATTTTCGGTCATCCTATAAAGGGCTTCAAATTTGCATGCTCTATTATTGTTTACACCTGCAATAATACCTTATGCCACTTGTCTTCATCTTGGTAAAATAAAATTTCTGCAATTTACAGTGTTTTAAAAGTCTAGTGGATCTGTAGTGGCTTGAGTGCTGCGACGCGAATGACATTGTCCCAAGTCGGTAGTAAAATGGATCTGTGCCATCTTTAGAATTGAAATCTATTCTTCAATTAAAGAAGAAATTCGGGTTGGTTTTTTTTAGAAAATTTTGATTTGTCCCAGAGGCTTAATATAAAGTATCCCCAAATTTTAAAGAATGTTTCTCAAACTTGCAGAGCTTTGAGCCAGGCCAGGTCGAGCGGGGTTAGCGTGATTCACCCCGTTCATTAAAAAACAAAAAAATCAGGTTAGGCGCTAATGTTTAATGGACACACAGTGGTTTTGAAAAAAAGAGACCCTTTTTGGTATCAGGAGGCATAAAACGTATTCTGATAAACTCACGAAATCGATTTTCCGCAGCATTACAAAAGTTTCTCTATACTACGGGCCGAATTAATAGTCGTCTCATACACTGAGTGTTCCTTTAAGTGGACGAATCGTATTCATAAACAACCCTTGAGTGAATTCTTAAGTGAGCACTCATTCCTATAAGCAAGTCAGCCTGCTCCCTTGAGTGCCCCTTATGGCTCCCTCGCATCGTCAGTCATAAACAATTTAGGTTATACTTTTACCCGGCGTTCACCGACTATTTAATTCGTTTTGCTGGTGTTTATATAGTGTAGGCAGTTAAAATCTATCATTTGTGAAACATGTTATGGAAAACGACTTCAACAATTATTTTGAGTTTTATACTCAACACATCCTGCAAAATTTTTAGAGATATTAGTGATACGAGCAAACCATTGGAAATGTACTAGAATGATGATTGGAAATGAAATTAGAATGATGAACAATTCCGAAAGTAGTTTCGTTTCAATAAAACTACTGTAGTGGATACACTTGTGCCGATGATCGACAAAAGTCCCAATGACTGAACGAGTATTGCCGATTTCCCCCTTATTAAAAGTTTTCGTTACATTAAAATGTTATGCAACTACATACTTTTACGAATGTTTCCAAAATTTTTAACTTTTATTCATTTCTGATTTATAAGACATATTATAAGTAATTATGTATTTCTCAATATGAATTTAAATTGTTCGAAAATGGAATTTATGTTAATGCTATGAGGGGTTGACATTTTCAATTACATGTTAATAATCTATTACCAATATTGGCAGACTTCTGTTCATACCATGTTACCATACCACCACCTTATGTTTATTTATTTATTATTTATTTAATAGGTAATTATTACAGACAAAATTAGCTAACTTGATCCTATGTGGCTAG